TGCATATTCGAGATAAGAAACGAATTACGAGGAAAACTTGTCGTTCTACGTCACGAGAGGATGAAATTAAATCTCAAATTCTCGATATCAATTACGGAAAACATCCATAGCATAGAATAATTTTTCGAATCAATTCTCGATCGCTTGAAAAAGAAAATTACGATCGCACAATCTAACCTCACTTTCAGCCCCCATCGATCGAGGCTATTGTGAGTCGAGCCTTATAGTAGGTGTGTCAATCAGTAGCGAAGTAATGGATGGTTTTAAATTGTCATGATGAAAAAGGGCCCGTCGTTTCGCGTGCGTCTAATGATGGAATCCGAAGATGAAAACCTCGATTCGAAGATTATGGGATCGTCACGAAAGAGGTGCGGTCCAATGCCGCGTAAGTTGGCAGCCCTGCTCTAACATCGCGTAATACCAACGTCGAAAATATGCGGGGAACCACTGGCGATGTTTCACCGGGAGAAAGATGGGCGAAAGGGTGTCCTTTTGAATGTAAATCAGGCCGTATATCTGCTCTAGATATTGGGGGCGTATGAATGAATTTCGCAATATCTCTTCGACGTTATTGCTTATTGTTGAACCAAACCTTTACGCGTTACGCGATACATGTGGATCGACGTTGACACAAGGCGAGGGAAATTTAAAAAATTAACAATCAATACCTGCGAAGAGATTATGATGATAGAGACTATGACAATTAAACTACTGAATTTTGTAAAAATAAATATTAATCGTTAAAAAAAGATCATTCAAGATATGTGCATAGAAAAATTAATCGTTGCGACAAAAGACACGCGGCAATAACGATAAATCTAAACTACCTTAAAGCATTCAGACGTATACTACAGCTATAAAACCTACCTATTTCCCTTACTACCCCGTAGAACAAGATTCGTAAAAAATTATTCGAAAATAACTTCACCGCAGGAAATTAAAGCCCACTCGACTTGTAGATCGAACCTACGCAAGGCTCCTTCAACCACGACGTAGTACCATCTTTGACCAATCGCGAAATCAACGTTCGGAAGCGTGCATAACCGAGCAAACCCCCGGCCGCCAATTTGAATAACAAAGCCGAGGCAAAGAGAGGCGGCCGTTCCGCGAGATTAACCATGAATATTTAACCCCGGTTTGAAAGTAAATGAAAAAGATCTTAAACCGCCCCGCTCGGTTCGTGCACCGTGCACGGGGGATACAGATATCAATGGACGCGAAACCGTCAATAATCGGCATCCATCGGTGCAATCTTGATGGCAATTAAGGCCGCATCACGGTGCATCATTAAATCATAAACCTTCGTCGGCCAGTTTATCCGCGAGGATTTCGCTCTCCCACGCGCCAAACGGCCGTTAATTTGCCACTGAATAAAATCGAGGAAAGAGAGAGAGAGAGAGAGAAGAGAGAGTCCCTCCGGGCTGTCCAGACCTTCGCTCTCCAACTATCTGACGTCTGCACAAGCGGCGAACAACTGATCCTAACTGCCCACCACGGCCTTCCATTAATGCCCACCGAGTTGGCCAATTACGATCGGTAATTTCACATTTTCTCTACGTATAATCGATGGTGGTCGATGTGTCTCGCTCGGTTGGCTGCGTTGCTCGAGATCATCGGCAAAATGAACAGTAAAGAGAATTGGAATGATTTAAGATACACGTATTTTGAACCACGGTGTAAGAAGTGATTGATCTTTCAAGACTCTTTTAAATTTTTTAATTTATAACATATGATCCGATCCTCCAAAATTTTCATCTTTTTTTTTCCTCAGAGAAAAAGTGAAAAATTCATTTCTTTGATGAAAAAAATATAATTGATCTTATAAGTTAATATATCAAATAACAAATTTACGTAATATTTATAGACGGACGTACGATATCTGAAAAAAGAATGATTTCGACAAACTTCTTTGAAAGCTCTGCTTCGCACAACGACCAATACTCGATTGTCTTAAACCACCTTGAAACCTGGTATTCTCGATTCAGTCAAAAAAATTGGGGAAAGAAAGCGTATCGAATGTGCACAATCTGCCGACGATTCTCAACGCCCGTTGAAAACGCGACATTTACCGCGACGTGCACGTGCGCCACGCACGAAGACAAAATCGTGGCGTGCTCGAGAGGTTTTTAGCGTGACGAAGCTTAAGGACAGTGAAACGTGTGCAACAAACACGCGTGCAACTCGCGTTCTTGCCCGCAGCCGTGTTATAGAGTAGGTCGTCGTGGCGTTAAATTTCGGCCGATGATTTGTGCGAGGAATTAGTCGCGGCGCGGGCGTGCTTCGCGCGTGCAATTGCCACGACGATGAAATATGGAACGAGCGAGCCGATTTCTTTCACGACCTATCATCCTCGTAATCGATGATGAAGATTCTTGAGAATCGTCTTGCTTGCCTTCTTTTTTTTTTAAAATTGAATATTTTTTTCTCCACCCTCTTTAAAAATTTTCCTAATATCGAGAGAAATGAATAAGTGAATTGGTATCGATACTTTTTTTTTTTTTTTTTTTTGGATATAATTTAATTATTCGTCTTTAAATTGGATGTTGCGATGGTCGAGACAAATAATGCGATTTATATAAAGGACGCGGGAGATACTTAGCGAATTCTTTTCGGAATTGAGACATTTATTAAATCGGCTTGTTCCGTCAAAAGAAGCGCAAGTCGTTTCGCTCCCCTTAATGAGCGTACGTGATGAGCATATCGATAATTATCGATGCACCGCGCACAATATTCAGATACATTAATCGTTTTTACGTCTGAGTTAAGTGTCGGGGTAAAATTTACCTTTCTATCTTAGTAACGCGCGATGTAAGATTAATAAACTCTTCAATGAACTTCTATTAAAATAGATTTTTAAAGTATGAAATTATTTTCATATTCACAGAACAAGAAGATATTTTTAATTGCAATTATAATTAAACGAATATGTCTATCTAATTGATCGAATATTGTTAATCTTTTCTACGATTAAACGAGGTATTAAAAACAGAAAATAGTTGCATCGAAAATTAAAGAAATTTATGCTGACCAACATCGTGCCTCTTTTCTCCGACTATTCAATTAAAGTAAGCAATAAAACGTCTATTATTTACTACATCTTCTTGTACAGTGATACTTGTTAAGATTCCACGATGAAAATGAAAAATATAAAATTCATCGATTGAATTAAATCAATCAAGAGAGAGAAAGATATACGTCGAAGACCACTTTCACACACAACTATCTTAAAATATTAACCTATAATTCTCTTCTCACATTCTATAACCTATACACAATTTCAACACGATAAATTAAACGCGTACAAACAAATAACAAATTTCATTTTTTACATTTAAAAGTGTTACAAAAATTAATTAGAAACGTACCCACTCCCTATAGATACAGCGATCCAATTCGAAAATGAATAAGTATCAATTTCATCGATGAAAGCGTAAGATATTTTATCCCCGATAAATCGCATCGAAGGAGAATATCCGCGAGAGGTAGACAATTACGAAGACAGGAACGCGATATCTACGGGCAAAAGCAATTAATAGGATGCTCATTACGTGACGCGTCTGCGCGAAATTGCCCCACGAACCGATAATCATTCTAAAATATCGAGTATCGCCCACTTTTGGTAATGGAGGTCTTAAATGCTTGGATGAAATTGATGCGAACCCTCGTGAAAATCATTTACCATTTTTGCGAAATGGAATATGCATCGTATATATCTACATCGCCGTCCTTGTAAAAAGTGAAAGAAAGAGGAACAGGAAACGCTCACACGACTAATACTTCCTCATTTTTTAAATTTATCGCGTGTAATTAACTGCATCGTTTGTATGCAATATTTTGCGTGATATTAAAATTATTCATCGTGTTAACATGAAATATTTTACATGGATTTTTGTTGATGATTATAACACGAAGTGAAATTAAGTAAATTTGGTATTTTTTATATGAGGAATTTTAATTTAAAAATATATTAATTATTTCAATAAATTTTCTATATATTACATAACGACCTAATTTTATTTTATGTTTCAAAAAGTAGTATGTATTACCATAATATAGTAATTGATTCTTGTCAATTCTTATCTTCTTTCAAAAGGACAAAATTCTTACTTAAAAAATATATAAGTAATAATCATATTGATTACTTTGTTAAATACACTTTGTGAATCTATCTAAATTTCCTTTAACAAAAATATTCATTCTTACCTACATATAATTGCAAAGGATCAAAGGATTTGATTTCAGTTCGAAAATATTTTTATCACGCATAAAATTATTGTTAAAAGGAATATACACGAAGAAGGAACATAAGTTCGCGACACAAGTTCGCCCACATCGCCTACCCACCTTTTATATTCTTGATTTCTATTGCCAGAAAAGGCCTAAGCGTGGGTGTACGAAATTTTTGCCCGTTGTTACTAGGTCGCGAATAAAAAGGCGAAATCAATTTCACGTAAGGATAAACTCGACGACGTTGTCGTAACACGTGCGAAACAATAGAGCGTGTGTTTCAGCTATCGTAAGTGGATTAAATTCGTAGAATAATTTTAATGTATATATTGACCACGATTTTATTTTGATTCTCCTATTATACTTTATAAGATAACTTCTTATCGCGAAGTATAAAGTAAATAATATGATTAGATGAACTATTTTCCCTAAATAAATTCACGCTTGTATGATTAATTCTTCATCTTTAAAGTAGATAGAGAATGTAATAGACATTGAACGAAGAATTCTAAATATCCATAATATTTAAAACAGATATATATATATATATATCTCCTCAAACTAATTATCAAATATTTTAAAAAATAAATAATATATAAGTAAAATAATAAAATTTCTGATAAAATTCTCTAGGTTTCTTTTATTTCAGGATACGATTTTTTATTTCTCTAAGCTTTGAGTTTGAAAAAATTTTTTCTGTAATAAAGAGAATCTTATCAGAAATTTGATCAATTTCTTTCCAAATCTTAGAAGAATATTACATCGAGACTCACCAAAACATCTTGCAACAGTTCGTGCTCGTCAAGAAGTATCACTTTGCAGTGAAGAAGACGGGGCCTACGGCTTCCGGCCGGCCTAAGTCCAGGACAGAGCCACTCCACCACCATCTCTTCCTTCGGCAGACCCCTCGTTTCCCTTGTGATTCCTTCCTGGCTTTTACTCGTTCATCCGCTCATCGGTTTTGGTCATCCTGAAAGATGAGCACGACGCTGTAATCCGATCAAAACTGTCGCTTGTACGTACATAGCGATGCAGGCGAACACTATTCTCGATGCTATCGAGGGACAAAAAAGCGGGACTCTTACACACTTAAAGAATTTTGATTATTAATTTTTCTCTTCACATTTAAGAATATATGTTCTTTAATGATGAATGAATTTTTTAAATGATAAATAGGAATATTCGCGTTCAGGATAATTAATTATAATCTCGCTATTACTTCTTCAGCGTAAATAAATCACGAATATATTTTTCTACGTATCATATTTCTCTATCAAAAATCTCCAACTCATCAACTTACTTGACTTTGTTAAAAATTTCTATAATATTTCTTAAATATTCCCCTAGAAAAAAATAAAAAAAAGAAGAATTAATAAATGAAACAAACTATGGTTGTTGATCCACAATCGAGCTCGCTTCGATCGAGTGAATAGTGAATAGATCAAACCTGAAAAAAATCGTTTCGACTTCTTCGAACGAGAGTTCAATAGAGGTTGAACGAAACCAATTAAAATTGTCCCGTACAATGAGTGAATAAATGGGCGAATTAACTAATTCCTTTGAACCTAAGGGGATTAGGCGTCCACCGCGGCAATGGAATAATGAAACGCTAACGAATCGCAAAAGCGACACAGTCCAACGATTCGTTGCGACTGGTCGAAAAGAAAACTTGCTCGTTAATCAGTCAGCAGGAGAATATTGGCCCGATCTGATCGTTAATCAGACGGATATCTATCTCCACGAGATCTTTGAACGGGGCACGTTTGTGCGACTAATAGAGTCGACTCCACGAAGCAACGGGAACAAAACGAGAGAAAAGAAGGAACGAGGTGGCGTGGAATGGAGAAAGGAGGACACGAAGGTGGAATTATCTACATCTCTGTCCTGACTGTCGTCGAGGAAGACGCGTGTATAAGAGCGGAACGATCGGGTTTGGTGCAATTGATTTCGTGATTTATGACATCCAGGCAAGCGACAAAGATTGACAGTCGCCAGAAGAGTTGCGTTTTAATCGATTTCACGTCCGATCGAATTTTTCGCTCCGAGTTTCGAGACCTTCTTGCAATTCTTTTTGAGGCCAATGAGAAAATTGGAATATTTTATAGGGACAATCAGAAAACGAGAAGTTGAATTTGTCGTCTCGTCATCGATATACAAGTCATTTGAGGAATTACAATTGAAGTATTCCACGAATTTTTCAATATTCTTATCACACTGCTCTTAGCTCGAATCGAATAAAATAACATTCTCACTTTGCCCGATTAAAAATGCATTTAATGAAAAGGAAGAAAGTTGAGACTTATTCTCAAAAAACGTGCCTCGAAAAACAATTAACTCGACGAATCTCGAAGGGAAATTCCAAGCAGAAATGACAGACAAGCACACGAAAAGTGAACGAGGTTGGCTCTCGAAGGTGGAGAACTGCTTCCATCCCATTAAGATACGAGCGTGCGCTCGTGCTAAGCACGATAAATTATCTACAATGCAAATTTCTACGGTGCACAAATCCCGAAACGGTCCGCTTCATCGACGCCCGTTCGTTTTAAGCGTATCGAGTTAATTTATGCACGCCCCTTTCCCGCGCATAATTGCCACGCTATGACCATTATTTACATAACAAGTTTAAGCAACAAACACCGTGGCGACGCGGATGTAAAATCCTTAGGGCCCTCGCATTTTAATTTCCTGGTTCCAAATGTTGCCGACCCGAATGGGCTAAAAACATGAACTGTGAAACATCGAGAACATCGACTATTGAAATTTGAACGCGTGTAAGAATCTTGGGACAAGCTCTGTCTTGTCTTGTAGCTGAGAAGAAAAGCCAACGAAATGGAATGATACGAGTATCGTGAATAAATCGAGCGAAACAACTTGGAGAGAGAGACAGAGAGAGGAAGAAAAAAGGAAAATGAAAGTTTTGCTCCGTATTAGATTGAATCCTCTGAAGAATTTCATTTAGAAATGTTCGATATTACGTGTAGGATGATGTTACGTGTAGGAATGATATATGATACTAGGGGATTTATTAAACGTATAATCGTTTGATAAAGAGAGATGATGAATCTGTGGATAATAATGTAACTTGTGGCAATTCTAATGATATGAAAATAATGTAAAATGCATAATATAAACCGTTTAGAAACTAATTATAAGTACAACGTACGTCTCACAACCGGATACTCGTGTGAATAAATGGACGTTTGTCTCCGTATGGGGTCATATAAATGGAGTTCTACTGTAATTGCTTGGAAGGTAATGTAAAGATGCAAAGATACGATTATGGTACAATGCATAGCCTGTAGTGAAGCGGCAATAAACCTCTTACAACAAATTTCTTATAATGTAGATATTTAGCACGAGAATATACGAATAAGTCTTCCAAAAGCGAGCACCGCGAATGACCTATCTATCTAAGAATAAATTTTCATTCTTCGCTTGGATGGAAAAATCACTCCCGAGATCATTTTAAAAATTCTCGTGTATGCTCAAAGACAGTTTAAGAGCTTGAACGTTCATAATTTGAAAATAAAATTCGAGATTTTTTATTTTTCATCGGAGGCCGTTAAGCAACTATTGTCTCACGGAGTAATAATTATTGTTTTACTCTCGATTTGACGCGCGTCTTAAAAACACGTACACACGCGCAATCGTACAAAGTACAATCCGCTCTTACAAAACAAAACGCGATGCATTGAATTAAAAGATGATTTTATCGAGTTTGAACAGCATTGTGTGCTGATCAAGCAGACGGTCACAAATTTATTTTCAACACCTCGAGTCGCCGTGCACGTTTCCTGATGGCGTCTGAAAAATCGTAAACAGCTCGGTATCCACAGCTCGGCTACCCGTCTGTACCGTTAGCTCATAGTTCCGACGTAACATCTCGAATACGATTGCCTGCCTCTATTCGACGCGCGCTCGGCAACGCACGTGTATGTACGCGCAAATATTATACGAGCGGCTACCACTTAAAATACCTTCGATTATATTCGAGATATACCTGTTGGCACGCATCTCTATACTTTGGCCAGGCCGCGAAAAATCTGTAATGATATAATAGTAATTTTTATATCTTCGAGTTTTAACTAATTAGAACTAACAAGCTCGATACAAAAAGAATACTATACGAGATTTCTAACGTCTTGGTCGTTCTAAGAATGTAATAATACGAATAAATAAATGAAGAGACGAAAACTTTTTTATTGGAGCAAAAACAAAAGCAAGTATAATATATAGGGATATATAAAGGATTTCCTTTCTTATTTTATCAACCTCTTACATATTCTTGAAATTTTGACACTTCGATCGAAGATGAACTTTGTTACTATTCTATTTGTATAAATACAAAGTTTCGATCAATTAATAATTTTTCTGGCCATATTTATAGATCGATTTTGTATTTTAAAACTAACAATTTTAAAGATATATAATACATTTCCGCTGGCCGAAACTTTCGAACGAATGATTTTTCAACGAAACTCCCTTAACCCCGTTTCAAATCGAAACGCCTACGTTTCCCCGCGACACAATACACGGAATCCATTTACCAACACATGGAAAGGAGGCACACCATTATTGCAATTCAAGCAGAACATATCCAGGATACGGTACCTCATTGTCTCGGGCTATTTATATCCACGTCGCTATTAGTGTAGGTCAGGGTGATGCACGACCGAACGAGCCGATTAAAAAGTGAAGGTAGCCAACTGCGCGAGCCGGAGAGTACACCTCGAAAAGGATCCAAGGGTGTACTGATAAATGTACCAGCGCGCGGGCGAGAGTAAATCATCGAAGAACTTCTTTACCCGGTCGGCCGCCACGTCGGTGCAATTTAAATATTTAAACTCATTAAGTCCGGCGCAAAATTACTCCGCGAGCCTCCTCCAGCTGTTTCACCATCCATCCCGATTTATGCGTTTCAATCGTGGCCATTTGCAATTGAATATTTGTCCCTTCGTTTCAAAATGTTTGTCGAGGAAGAGATGTTTAAAATATTATTTTAGATTAGAATTGAAGAATTCTTTTAACTTCGACTATTCTTAAAAAATGGAGTAAATCAAACGATAAGTTGGATCATTTTATTTAAACGAGAAACCAACCTACCACGAAAAACTATGATTTGGTGATTACACGAAAATTGTGTAAAATATAAAAATAATCGTAAAACACATCTATTCGATTAATTGATCTATATATAAATCATTTGAGCCAATCTCTTAAGTATCTTCTTTCGAGAAAACTGCTACAATTCTTCCAATATTTAGACGTCATTAATATAAACTCCCTCGATATATCACAAGGAAAAAGCTTCGCGTCTTCCCCATTAATTACGCGCATAATCCGATTTAAAAGGGGAGGGGAAAAAGTGGTCCATCTCTTTCATAATTAGCTCCGAGTAGTCGCGGATCGAATCGAAAAAGGACTGTTTCGTTGCCAGTAGGAGGGCCATTCTTCTCTCCATTCCCCGCCAATCTTTCACTCGATTCCCCTCCCCCCCCCCCTCTCAATTCCAAACTGAAAACAAAAATCGCGCGCAAACGTTGGCCGGTGAAGCGTGCAATATATCAAGCCTTGAAAAGAATGTCTCTACGCTCGACGAATCGCTAAGAAAATTAATGGCTCGTGCTTTGCATTCTCTAGAGAAGTTTTAAACGCCGGTATATATCCTTTCTCATCCCCGAGAGAGTATATAACCTTCCTAAGGTTCTGGAGCCGAGCTAACACGCGACTCTACTCCTGGGTGCCACCCTTGCCTCAGCGTGGCTCGCGCCATCGTCTACGATCGTCGCGCGGTTTTGTGAACGTGTTCACGTATTATTCATTAGCTGACGCTGTTCACCGCTGTCACACCGCCTGATGAATTATTTTATTCGTTCGTACACGCCGCGCGTACAACACGCCATTCGATGTCGAATCCTAATCGAACACGGCTGGAGATTTGCTGCGGTTTCACGTTCAACGGCGATAAGTTATTGTGTTTGAACGATGGATTTTTGCGAAACGTATATACCGTGGGATTGGCGGGATTTCGAACGGATATTGAGAAATTTTATTGTCGGGGAATTGTTGATTGAATTTTAATCGCGCGCATTTCAAAACAGTTTCAGAGCGACGATTTTAAATCTTTTGGTTAAAATTTGGTCTTGGAAGTGGGAGTGGAAGAGACAAAATTTTGTGTGGACAGAAGAAATAATAATAATTATTGAGTAACTTGTATGGATAATTCATACGATTTATGAAAAGTAATTTTGAAATGGAATATTATAAGATCTTGTTCTGTCCCTATATGCGATTCTTAGAAATATCTTCTATCATTTTAACGAATGAAATTAATGGATTAATTAAACCAATGAATCGATTCAAGAGACTACAATTAAGTATTAAAATCGAATCAATGAACTGATCTAACCTAATATGAAGATCATCGATTAAATTAAAGAAGACAAAAACTATTTAACGTTAATATTATTCTTTTGTCTACTTGGAACAAAATATTAATTAGATTTCAATTTTGAAGGAAATGATCTTTTACAATTCATCGAAAGAATCATCTGATTTGTAGTAAGTTCTATTATAAAACTGAATTAATATAATGAAAATAAACAATTACGTTTCTGTCTAATAAAATACAATACAATGGAATATCCTAACTAATTAATTCGTTAGAATAGAAAATCTCCTTTGTTATCCGAATACAATAATTTCTGAACACGATAATTCAATAAGATAAATTTAACGAGAAATAAAACACAAATAAAATTTTACTGCCACGATTGATTTGATTTATTACACTCGAATTTATCCTTATATAAGATAATTTTCCACTGTATTAATTTCATCAGAGAGAAAAAAAAAAAAAAAAGAA